TGCTAATCTTCCTCCTCTGTGACTTATTTGTCTGCAAGTTGGATTTCTCCTTTTTTTCTTTTTTTTTTCTTCTAATTTTTTTTAGAGAAATTCATTTACTAAACACACAGATCCAATCAACATCAACATATTAAAAAAAATAACAAACAAATAAACCCACTTGTGCTTCAAAGATCCCCCACTGCTAACAACAAAGCCATTCTCAAATTAAAAAAAAAAAAAAATTAAATTGCTTGAGCAAAAGAATCCCCAAATTCAAAAAATTCACCTTACAGAGGGCTTTGAGCATCTCGCTATAGTCAGGCTGATCTCATAAGCATCACTAATTTGCTTTTCGTCTGTTCATCCCCGCGAAAGCTCATCGCGAGAATAGTTGCGTCGGAACTCCGAGAACAGCTGCGGCAACGACTCGTCATAGCTCTCCCACGTCGCCGACGCCTTCCTCGATCTGACAGATACGGTTATCTGTGTTGTTAACATCTAAAGACACCATTTTTTTTTTCAGATCTAAGAGTGTTCGAATTTTTTTTTTCGGATCTGTAGTTAGAGAGAGACTCCTGGATAGAAATTGAGAGATAGATTGACGGGAATTGAGGAGAGTTTTTCCTGAGCAAATTAAATGAAAAATAATAATACTAGTATATATATGGGGAGTGGATAGGAAAGAGAAATGTTGTAGGAGGGAGTGCAGTGGATAAAAATTAACATAGGGAGTGATTTGGAAGTTGAAAGTAGGAGCAGAGATTTAAGTTGAATTTTCCGTTATAATTATATATAACTAGTAGATATCCTGTGCACATGCACAAATGTACATAAAATATTATAAGTAATATATGAGAATTTAATATAAAAATTCTAGATAATGAACATATTACATCTTTTAAAATTTGATCATTAGAAAAAATAAAGTAACGGTTTTAGTATTATGAACAATTGCTTATTTTCATTAGTTAATAACAGTTTGATTGTTATTATTATTATTATTATTATTATTATTACTATTATTAAAAAACAATTATTGATAAGATTCTAAAGTTGTTTGACTATGCTATTAAAATAATTTCCTAATTGTTTTTAAAGAAATTTTTTCATGAGATACAAAAGAAAAAGATAATATTGATGTGAATATAAATAATTTGAAACAATTGTTTGTAATTATGCAATTTATATTCATTGTGAATTATTATTAGTTGGTATTAGCAATAACTGTTATTTAATATAATAGGAAAATACATGATTACACTTAATAAGATGTATTAATATGAGAAGTAAAAAAATATTAATGATAAATTTTGTAACCGAAAATGGAGGGAAAATTTTAGAGGTTTTATTAAATATTTTATTAAATGCATTAGCTAGTAATTATATATATATATAGATTACAGGTAAGGAATTTAATACAATAATAATTTTTTTGCCCATTTTTGTAGCTAATTTTGGAATGAAAAAAATAAAAGAAAAAGCGTTACATATATTTTGTATGGATATATTGTTGTTGATAATGGTAAAAATCTCAATAACAGTGCAGTCAACGGTAGGGTTAGACTCCTTCGAAGATGAGACCGGCAACCGGAGACAACGCGGCAACAATCATCTTCCAACATATTTCTCTCTCACACACGCAGTCTCAATATATAATTAGTTATTAATTCCTCATCTTACAGTAACGCCGGTGACCACATCTATCATTCATACATACCCCAGTCGATAGAGAAATTACCGAAAGAGCTCACAACCGGCGGCGATGGCGGACGCCGCCGTGGAATTCCTGCTGGAGAACCTGAAGCAGCTCCTTCTGACCAAGGCGGAGCTGATCAGCAGCGCGAAGGGCCAGGTCGAGCGGCTCGAGAAGGATCTGCGCCTCTTCAACGCATTCCTCAAGGACTCCACCAAGAAGAGGCGGAAGGACCTCCGCCTCCGGGAGCTTGTCCGGCAGATTCGCGACGTCGTGTACGAGGCGGAAGACGTCATTGACGCCTTTGTGACCCAGGCGGCGGAGACCAGGTCGAAGAATTACTTCCTCAGGTCCATCCACAAGCCGCTCAAGCTCATGAACGTCGCTGAGCAGGTGGAGCGCGTCCGGACCAAGGTCAAGGAGATCTATGGCGATAAGAGCCTCATCGACTTTTCCACCCTCAATATTGGAGATGAAAAGCCAGACGAGGTCGAGGTAATTCAAATTTGCCTTAATTTACCAAAAATTAGGGATTTAATTGAGCACTGATAATGGGATGACCGTTGTGTAATTTCACATCAATTTTTTTTTTTTTTAATTATTATTAACTTGTTATCGAACTTCCTATATAAGATATGTCTGATTCTAGCTTATTTTGTTAAAAATGTTGAATATGGGATCTTTGAGGTTGTATGTGGGCCGCCTAACCCCTAACCCTTAAGACGGTCCGGCGATATTCTATGAATCAATACACATCCTTATACTATCAAATGTCATACTTTAGTTTAAAATGGTTTTTTAAACACTACATTTTCTACCAAAAGTGCATATTTGTGAGGAGCATGTTGGCCTATTGGTGAATGATGCTCTTCGGAAAAAAAATTGTACTTCCTTGAGAAGTCTAAATTTAGAAGAACACAAGCTTTGTGTTAAAGGTTCTCTTTGTAGTTAATGAAAAAACTTGTTATAATAATTAAAAAAAAGGTTCTCTTTGTAGTATGACTTATGGTTTATGATGATTGCAGAGTAAATTGTATAATATTATATTAATCCAGTTCAAGTTGAAGTTTTGCTCGAACCCGGTACCTTACACTTTTTTTTGGTACTTCTTCCCCTAACTATCAAAGAGAAAGTTCAATTTATTTCTCCTAACTCAATGAACAAGTTCAACTTTTCTTTTTTTTTTTTTTTTTTTTTTTTTTTT